TTTCTGAATTTCTCTGCTGAATTCTCATGGGCGTAGTCAGGATTTATGTTGGGGCGGGCAGGAAACCCACCTGTCATCATCCTCTATCTGGCTCTGTCTAGTACAGGGTTTCCCAAACTTGGGTCTCCAGCTGTTATTGGACTACAACTCCCATCATTCCTAGCTAGCAGAACCAGTGGTCAGGGTTGATGGAAGATGTAGCCCCCCCAAACATCTGGCGCCCCCAAGTTTGGTAACAAATTCGGAATGAAATGTTTTAAATTACTTTCTTTTGATCCCAAGTGCTCAGAAAAAAAGATATCTCAAATCTTTCTACAGTTTCTACTTTTAGTTAAGTATTTTTATTTATTTACTTGAATTGAGGGGGGGGCAGCTGCCCCTCCTGGCTACGCCCATGTTTTTTCCATGGTCCACTGCTGTCCATGCTGGTGGATGGTTTTCAAAAGAAATGGAATCGGAAGAAGCTTGCAAGTCTCTACTCCAAGCAATGGAAGTCGAGTCTTTATCTTTTGTAAGTCTGTGAGAAATAACACTGACAGACACTGCAGGGCAAGGAAACAGGAAGCGAGTGCAAAAAAAAAAGAATCTCAAGGGAGCAAAGTGGCTATTGGTAACATAGATGCAAGAAAGGGAAAGACTGATACATCCTTCACTCATGGGCAGAATTCTGTGGCTACTTTTGATGCCCTGTGCCTGCTGGGCAGAACATCTCTTCGTACGCAGAAGGCCCCAGGTTCAGTCGATGTGGGATGTTCGGTCTGAAACCCTGGAGAGCCGCTGCCAGCCAGTGCAGACAACACTGGGCTCTGTGGACTCAGTGAAGGCCAGCTACCAATGCATGTGCTTTGCATATTTGAAGGGTAAAAGTAACAGGTGCTCATAAGAGACAATGCAGAAGACCTGTGGCAACATCACTCCTCAATTGTCCCTGTTGCTTTGTTATAAATGTCTTTTTGTGGCTGCTTTTCCTTTGCCTAAATTAGTAACGGGAACATACAAATATCACCTACTTCCCCTCTTTCTTTCTTTCTTTTTATACTTTCAGAGCTCTATAGCAGAATCTCCCCCCTCCCCTTGTGTTTCCTAGAAGTACAGTATAGCAGTATTCTCCCCCCCCCCCAATTTTGGTTCCTCTGTTTAATTTTTGTTGGGTTGGTGTTGGTTAAATGTTTAGTTGAGGTTGGCATCTACTTTAATTACGGGGTATAACTGTAAACTGTTTATTGTATTATTGTTATTGTTATTGTTATTTTGGGTATAACTGTAAACTGTTTACTGTATTATTGTTGTTATTATTGTTATTGTTATTGGGTTTTACTGATTTATTGGTTTATATGTTGTTTGTATATAGGATATCTTTTTTTTTAAATGTTTGATGCTTTGTTGTGTTTTATATGTTGTAAGCTGCCCAGGGTGACTGGGGAAACCCAGCCAGATGGGCGGGATATAAATTTAAAAATATTATTATTCCATTCCGCTGCCCTGTGACCCACAAAAGTAGAAGCAAAGGCAAAAGTCATGCCTTTTAAACTAATGTCTTCCTGTGTGATTTATTTATTTTTTAAAGCAAGCTTGCCTTACCACTACTCATTGTGCTATGGGTGGAGAAATACGTAAACTGGGGGCGAGGCTGCTTAATACGCTTCCCTCAAGGTATTTTTTCTGTTCAAAATGGCCTAGAAGCATCAAGCTGGGGGATTCTGAGAAGGGGAAACTCCACTAAAAATGTTTAAGTCTGCAGTCCCTTTGCCTCTCTCCCCCCCTCCAGCTGCTCCTCTGCATAGGCTGCAATTGTATACCTATTTTCCCGAGAGTAAGCCCATTGACTGCCTATTTGATTGTTCTTTATTTCAAATAATGTCAAAGAAATCCATGGAATTATGAACAGCCTGGAGTTAGTTGCCATTGGCCCAATTTATCATTATGGGGGGGGGTCATCTGTTAGTTACTTCTGAGTAGCCGGAGCTGGAGGAGACTCTTGAGAGTCCCATGGACTGCAAGAATATCAAACCTATCCATTCTGAAGGAAATCAGCCCTGAGTGCTCACTGGAAGGACAGATCCTGAAGCTGAGGCTCCAATACTTTGGCCACCTCATGAGAAGAGAAGACTCCCTGGAAAAGACCCTGATGTTGGGAAAGATGGATAGCACAAGGAGAAGGGAACGGACAGAGGACAAGATGGTTGGAAAGTGTTGTCGAAGCTACCAGCATGAGTTTGACCAAACTGCGGGAGGCAGTGGAAGACAGGAGTGCCTGGCGTGCTCTGGTCCATGGGGTCACGAAAAGTCGGACACGACTAAACCACTAAACAACAACAACAACAGCCATACATAAGACTGTGGTGTTAAACTCGCCCCTTCTCAAAGCTGCTTTAAAAAATAAAATTGGGGAAGGTTACATGCAACTGCTTACAATACCACTATTATGTGAAAAGGTACTCTCTCTTGTCTGCCCTGAATGTGTTTTAGGCACACCTGTAGGATTCCTTATGGTGATTTCACAGGATTTGACGCACTGTGGTGGATCAATGAGTGAAGAGTGTACCAGTGTTCCAATGACACGCTGTTGCCACAATAGCCCCCCACTTGCTTCAGTGTTGCATTTTGAGGTGTTAATGTAGCATTCTGAGAGTAGCACAGGAAATGGTAATGGATACAAAGGAACATGAGTGTTACACATAACCCAGTCTCTGAACACTGAAAGATCCCAAAGGTTCTCCGCATATCTTGGGTTTTGCTTCCTTCAAATGAAGGTCACTGGAAACAGTGGTGTCTTTGTGTATATCATTTATTTACACGTACACAACATACCCTCCAACATTTCTCCGAAGAAAATAGGGACGTCCTATTTTCTAATTTAATAATAATAATTTTATCTGGCTCGATTGCCCTAGCCCCTGTGGGCAGCTTCCAACATATATAAAAACATAATAAAGCATTAAATAACTTTCCTATACAGGGCTGCCTTCAAATGTATTCTAAAAGTTGAGTAATTACTTATTTCCTTGGTTCGGGGGGCACATAATTCCTTACCCTCCAACATGCTTTTGATGAAAATAGTGATGTCCTAAGGAAAAGCGGGACATTCCGGGATCAAATCAGAAACCAGGATGGCTTCTGTAAATCTGGGGCTGTCCCTGGAAAATAGGGACACTTGGGTGGAATCTAGACACATATAAAAAATGCTGTGAAAATGCTTTTTAAAAAAAAGTTTTTAAAAATATATATTGAATTTGCCATAAGTTCACCATCGCCATCTAGTGTCACATTTGTACAATGCACTTAAAACACACTTAAAATGCTATATTTGCAGCTGTATAGCTGAGTCCTTGGAGGGGTCTGATATACAGGCTGAGCAAAAGATGACATTTCAGGCATTAACACTCCAACATGTTTTGCTCCTCCATTGGCTTTTTGAGGAGTGTGGGGACAGCAACACCCAAAGCCATAGCTTTGGGTCCAGCACAGAAAGCAAATCAAGCCTGTGTCTCTCTGCATTGTGGATCAACTGCCAGCTTTTTTTTTTAAAAGATATTATTAAGATTATCAAAATATTACAAAATGAAAAAACAAAAAACAAAAAATAAAATAAAAATAGTTAAAAACAATTCCATCTTTCCATTACTTATCTTTCATTTGGTTGTTTCCCGGACCTCCTCACACCTCCCTTTTTTGTATTCCAGTTCAATTTGTTAGTTCAGCAAATCCTTTCCCCTCTTTGTTTGTCCTAGTCTTTAATCTTAAAGTATTATAACATTAAGTTTTTACCTGTTAATAATCCATTTTTTCATATTCCTTTATAGCATTATAGCTAAAAACCACTTAACTTCTTATCCAACATCATTCTAACATTCATTAATTTTACAGTATTTCTGTAAGTAGACTTTAAACTTTTTCCAATCTTCTTCCACCGACTCTTCTCCCTGGTCTCGGATTCTCCTCTGGTCCTCCTGCCCCTGGGTCCCAACCCTCCTGGACTCTTCGGAGGCGGATTCCTCTGACTCCTCCCCCTGTCTCTGGCGGGCTTTGGGACCTGGCTTCCAATCCGGACTTTCTGCTGACCCGAGCGCCTGCACATTTGAACTTGGCGCGCGCGCCCAGCCGGCCACTTTCCTCCTAACGGCTACACTGCTTCTGTCACTGCTTCCTCCTTCAGAGGGGCTGGCTGAAACTGACCTCCGCTCCGCCCCTCCACTCTCCGACGGAGGCGTGGTCAGTTCTGACTCTCTCTCCCTCCCTGCTGGAGTGGACTCCAGTTCTGCTCTGTGGGCTTCTTCCCCCCCCCCCCCGCTACGCTCTGGCAGGGAAGCTGGCCCTGATCTCCAGCTGCCGCTTGGGGACTCACCGCTGGCCCCCCTTGCCCTGACCCTGGGCGCCTCTTTCTGAGAGTCTTCTGATTCTCGAGTCACTGTCATATCCTCCTAAGCTCCCCTCAGATTCCTCCCCTTTGCTCTCCAACCCCTCTTTCCCCCGTGGCTCTGCCCCTGAGCCCCTGACACTTATTATCAGGCAAATGATAGATTTTTGCAAGCTTGACTGGTGTTATGTACCACCTGTATATCATTTTCATAATATTCTCTCTTAACAACTGCCAGCTTTATTGTTCTTACACTCACCATTGAATTCGAACATACTGTATTTAATGCCTGATGCCTATAAATGGATAACGATGGCACCAGGCATGCCTTCCTAGGGAGAGGATTCTGCAAGCAGGGAACCACCGCCTATGTTTCATGCTGCCACTCAACACACACCTCTTGTGGGAGGGCGCATGCTGAGAAGGGCCACCGAGGACAAACATAGGGTAAATATAAATAAATTAAATATATCATATACTCACACCTGTTTTCTTATTCCCCTGCCTGCCCTGCAGTGGGCTGTTTTTACATGTGTGTTTTTTTTTCTTTTTTGAGTAGAACCACATGGTTATTGTTATTGTTATTATTAACCAGTGTTTGATTTTAATCATGCCTGTTCTGCAAAGTAACACAAAGTGGCTTACACACACACACAAATTCAGTGCAACACAAGATAAACTCCAGCCTAAGCAAAAACAATTCACAGCAAAATACACAGCAAGAGAAAGGAATTGCAATGCTCAGTTAATTGTAAAAAAGTAAAAATAAATAAAAGTAAAAGTAGTTTGTGTCATGCTTTGGGGATCACTTATGGGTGTGTGCCCAGCAGGTGCACCTCTCTGTCTGCCCTCTGTCTGTTGGCATTGCGCCCAGCGATATGCCCCCCCCCCAAGCTCCCAAGTGTATTTTCTAGCCAGTGCTGCTCTGAGATCCGGTACAATGCTGGTTCTGGGAAGAAGCCATCCCTGGAGTCCCTCTTGGTTCCTAGGCAGCTGCCTTTGCGCCTCAGTGGTTGGGGTTGAAGAAGAGACAAGCTCTGCAGAAGAGGCCGAATGAAAACACACAGAGGAGAAGTCTGATCTGCTGCTGTCCTCTCCTTCCCGCCCGAAGGAATATTATGGCGCATCCTTTTCACTCTCGGGCATCATTTCACCTGTACAGAAAAACAAGTAGAACAGGGAGACTTAATTATTCAAGCTAGGATTAAACTAAAGATGATAAGCATGAAGGCATTGTTTAGGGGAGGCTGCAAGTTTGGGCTCAGAGGGACCCGTGGCTCACCAGCTCTTGTCTGACCACAACACCCATCAAACCCAGGCTTGAGGGCAGGTACCAAAAGATTCCAACTGAGAAACGGCTCTGCCCCTGTGGAGATGGCAATCTGTTAACAGTGGCTCATGTTCTCCTGTCCTGCCTCCTTTATAAAGATCTGAGGAATGAGATCATCACCCCACTCTTACTTACCATCCCAGGCCGCCCACATTGTCCTTTCTTTTATCAGATCAAAAGGATCAGACAACAGCAAAGGTTGCTAGGTTTATCGAGGGTGCAATGAGATTAAGGGCCACTATCTTGGTCATTTGATTGCCCTTTTTACCCATTGTTGTCTTTTTAATTGTATATGCTGTTTGTTTTATGTTGCTATGGTCGTTGGCTAATGCGAATAAAGTTTATCTATCTATCTATCTATCTATCTATCTATCTATCTATCCCAGGCATCAAGGATGATGGGAATTGTAGTCAGATAACATTGGGAGGGTGACATCTTTCCCATCCCTGCTGCAGGTCTTTTATTAGAAAGAAGATTCCCCCCTCCCCATTATACTGAAATTTTGATGTAGTTCTAGGGGCAGTTACAGTATATTAAAAGGTGCATTTTGTAACACGGGGATCAGTGGAAACTCTTTTCCTATTGCCTCTCTCTCTCTCTCTCTGTGTGTGTGTAAGTACACACATGTTGGGAGCCCCCAGTCTGTATATATGTGTAAATTTTGCAGCTGGGGGGAAAGGGTTAAACATCTCCTCCCCTATACACTGCAGTCCTGATGAAAATTGCCCTCACACTTGCTTTTGTGGGGGGGAATAACTTTTATTGGGAATGATAATAATAATAATAATAATAATAATAATAATAATAATAATAATAATTTTATTATTTATATCCCCCCCATCTGGCAGGGTTTCCCCAGCCACAAACAAGGATTATGAGAATAATAAATGATACAAATAAGCAGATCAAGTTTTCTCGTGTCATTTCTATATTCTATTCAATTCAATCTTTATTACGGTCCAGAGACCCAACAGATCATTACAAAGCAATACACAATTTAGACAGCCTACTATATTGCAAAAACAGCACAATAAATTTGCAGTAAGCCCTCCACCCTGGTTGATTAACAGAAAACAGCAATGCTGATGTGACTGCTAGCAGCTCATTCAGTTTCACATGTAGTTAGGCTCTCAAATGCAATGAAGCTTCATAAAAAAATATATCCCCATGTGTAAATGTCAACCTTTTGCCTCCCCTGTTTAATTCTGGGTGTCTTGTTGAATCCTTGCTGCATAAGCACAGCTCACTGAAGTCCAAGCAGACCTTAAATCCCAACCGCACGAGTAAACAATCATGTTATTCTCTTAGTTTGACATTGTCCTTTCCCATTTCCCAATTATGGACTGGAAACTGCTGTTTACCAGGCAATAATATTTGCTTAGGTAGCACAGTGTAATCTACTTTGAAGGCCACCAGGCCTCCAAGCTCTTGTGTAGAGAGAGGCTGTTCCCATTATTTACTATCAAACTCTCTTTTAACTGGAAATATTAGGGGTTGGAATGCTGAACCTGGAACCTTCCAAGCTAAATATATGCTCTGGCCTTCTCTCTTGAGTCTGGTAGCATTACCTCTACTTGGAAAGAAGCATTGCAATGCTTCTGGGACCTCTCTGAGTATCTGAAGCTTGTAGATCTGCTGGTATATCTTCTCCGCTATGTCTTCTGCCTGGAAAGATGAAACAACGGCAAGCATCAGGCTACCTTTGGGCAGAAAAGGGTGCAGGTTTCTCTGCTCTGACGTGAGATCTCTTTTCTCCTGCTTTGAGTGGGGAATCTTTTTCAGCCTGAGGGCCACATTGCCTCAGAGACAACCTTCCAGGGGCCAATAGTGGGTGGGGCAACAGGTGGGTCTGCAGGAGTGCGCCTTTGGGGGTGAAGTCAAACAGTTGAGCTAGCAGCACTGAAATGACCTTCTCAGGGTGCAAGCCTGGGCCGGATGCTAAGACCTCATGCTTGCTGATGTGGTCCAAAGGAAAGCAGAGCAAAACATGGGCTGGAGGAGTTGCTGGAGGGAGATGTACAAGGCACCATCTAACCATCTTAGGGACTCCTTTCTGGATTTGTGTAGGGTTTACTCCTTAACCTTTTCTTCTCCCAAAGATATCCTGCAAGGCAGCAGAAGATCAGAGTTTTCCTTCTCCTAGATCAGGCTTTTCCAACCTTGGCCCTCCAGATGTTTTTGGCCTACAACTCCCATGATCCCTAGCCAGCAGGACCAGTGGTCAGGGATGCTGGGAATTGTAGTCTCAAAACACCTGGAGGGCCGAGGTTGGGGAAGCCTGTCCTAGATGGCACCTCTCCCCAGGTGGACGAGCCTCATCTGTTCTTCACTTCTCTCTACAGCACATGCAGAAACTACTTTCTTGACCGCTGGACCAACTATTGGTCTCATCCACTCAATCTGCCAGAAAATGTTTTCACATGCAGGGGAAGTCCCTAACTCACTAATGATTTGAGACCTGTTGGCTACCCCCACCTGGTTTAGCCAGCCAGCCAAATCTATTTTCTGGGATGTGGCCACTGTCGCATGCTGACAGCTTCTAGGAGCCCCAGGTAAGAGCTGAGTGCAGGGTGGGGACCAAAAGTGGACATTGTACCCCAGAAGAAGGCGTGTCACCCACCAGAGGTACTGCCCCTCCCCTAACACCTCATACACCCTAGTAGGCTACAGTCCAGCCACCAGTGGCACCATCTTGCGCCCACGACTGCGGATACCCAGGGCCCAACTGATGTCTTGGTGGTAAAGCAGTTTCTGATGTTTTGAAGCCTATCTTGGTAGCTCACCTTATCCGCCATTATCTCATTGGCCTTCCCCAGGTGGGAAAACACTAGGAGGATCCCAGCCTCTCTTATCCTTAGCTCAGGATTATAAATGGCCCGCAAAGATGTCTCCAGAAAGGTTCTCGTCTGATCTTCTGTGAAGATGTTTCTGAACAGCTAAAATCAAAAGTGTCCACATTTTAAAGATTGTGTGGCAGAACTACATGTATATATATGTGTGTATATATGTATATATATATATGTATGTATATGTGTCTGTGTGTGTACATTTGAATGGAACAAGTGGAGATCTATAACAAAAGTTACAGTGTCTTCTTTTCCTAAGGCCCCTCCAAATGGGTGTCATTGTGGTTGTACTCTGCAACATATTATTCTTGACATGGGAGGTGGGTTTATTCTGCTTTAGCTTGCTCTGTGATGCTTCCTCAGTACCATCACATGATTGCTGTCAAGCAACAAAAGCAGAACGACAAGAAACCAGGACAGTTGTGGTATAGAAAGCAAGACATTGTGGGGTGTGCACTGACTGGAAATTAGCAGTGTGACACCCCCAAAACTCTTGCAGTTGCAAACAGTCCTCCAAGCGGGATTATGTGTGACCACCCCAATAGCTTCATGAGCACAAACAATCATGAATGGAAAGGATCTCTGGAGGGATCTGGTGTCCCTCACAGGAGTCCTAGGAAGGGCTCCACCCAACCTGGAATTAGGAGCTGTGTAGCACTGGTTGGGCTTGAGCAGGGAAGAGTATCATGAGAAGAAAGGAAGAAAAAGACACACTTCTTTCTTTCCTAACCCCCATCCTCAGGAGAACTTACCCCATTCTTCAAATAAGTCTGAAGAGCTTTGGTTTAAGGATGGCTGCTACTTTTAAATCTGAGTATATTATTGCTCAAGCTTGTAAGGGTGGGGCAGGTTTCTAAAGTGTGGGGAAGGGATTAGGTGCCATGTTTCTAAAGCAGGCTAACTCCCTTTCCCTTTCTTCCCTCCCCACAACCAGAACCCACAAAACCTGGTGGGGCCTGGGTGCTACTAAGCATGCCCAGTCAAAATGAAGTCTCCCTCTCAGGTTGTAAACAGATACATTTCTACATATCTAGAGAGTCCCTCCAGTGTGCGTAAACCATCGTCTTGTCCACGGTGGCCCCATTTTGCTGCCAAAGTGGTAGACAGGGTTCAGGGTTTCCAAAACTTGAATCTCCAGCTGTTTTTGGACTACAGTTCCTATCATTCCTGACCAACGGTCCTGCTAATGAGGGGTGGTGGGAGTTGTAGTCCAAAAACAGCTGGTGGTCCAAGTTTGGGAAACTATGGCATAGAGCCACCAAGATCATTCTTGAAAGGAACGGTGCTGTGTTATCGGCTCTGAACGGCTCTGTTATCAGCACCACCGATACTGAGGGCTTGTCCACACTTGGGTTGTCCTGAGCCTAGAAAGCATGGGTCTGAGTGGTCTTCAGCTTGTCCTATGTATTCTTAGAATGGGTCCAAGTGGTTTCCCATTGCCCTGTAGCTTTCCCAGGGAAAACCCACTCTTTAGCGATGAATCAGGGCAAATATCAATCACCGAAAACTCGATTGATGTTTGTTCCGATTCAGCTCCAAAGAGCGGGTTTTCCCCAGGGGAAAGTGGAAGTATGGATGAGCCTCTTCTACACTAGCCTAATTCTGGGGAAGCATGAGGCATTTCCATTGGGTGTGAACTTGTCCATATTTAATGCTGCCTCAGAGGTATATTCTTACCTCACCCACCCTGCAGGAATCCACGTAAGCCAGCATTTTCTGGTCTTCGTAACTGTGGCACCACAGTTCTTCAGCCTCACTCACGCTCAGCCCTGACAGGGAAACAGCAGAAGTACCTCTGTTTCTGTCTATGTAATGGGTTCTCTTTGACATTACGACCTGGGATCTTTCTGTCCCCTTTGGAAGATAACTGCTATCTGTGCAAGGATTTGTGAGGTATCCTAAGATTTCCCCACAAGGGGATTTGTCCAGTCCCACTTGTTCCTGCAGTGGTCCGAAGCTAGACTTGAGAAATAAAGATTTGCATCTGGGTTAGGAGAAGGTATGTCAAATACTTTGTGGCCTTAATTGTTACGCTTACGTTTATATATGGAGTGTGGCCTATGGGAGAAGATGAGGGCAGCATGAAACACAACAGTGAGCAGGCTGCCAGGTTTTGGGAGGTTTTTTTGTGTGTGTTTTTGTATGTGTGTGGTTTTTTGTTTGTTTTTTGCAGATATCAGCTTTCTTGTGGAAGAATTAATATGTGAAAAGAAGGGAGATCATTTCTCAGTTAAGTCCTAATCCCTGTGGGATACTTTGCCCTCTGGGATCTATACAAGTTAAGAAAAACTAGAACAAGTTAAGAGAAACGAGAACAATGACACCTTTCAGCATGCGTGAGGAGATTAGCTCAATGCTACAGTGCTGAATGGGACACGGGTAGCGCTGTGGTCTAAACCACAGAGCCTAGGACTTGCTGATCAGAAGGTCAGAGGTTCGAATCCCCGCGATGGGGTGAGCTCCCATTACTCGGTCCCTGCTCCTGCCAACCTAGCAGTTCAAAAGCACGTCAAGTTCCTCTGGCGGGAAGGTAAACGGCATTTCTGTGCGCTGCTCTGGTTTCGCCAGAAGCGGCTTAGTTATGCTGGCCACATGACCCAGAAGCTGTCTGTGGACAAACGCCGGCTTCCTCAGCCTATAGAGCGAGATGAGCGCACAACCCCAGAGTCGTCCACGACTGGACCTAACGGTGAGCGGTACCTTTACCTTTACAGTGCTGAAACAATAAGCCTGGAAAGAGTTTATAAGATGTGATAAGCATGAATTGCCCTACCCTAAGCACAGGTAGGTGAAGGTAGGATAGGTAAAGTGGGGGGGGAGGCTTAGGGTCAGAAACAGGTCCTACTATTAAGAAGAGTGAGGGGGTCACCAAGGCAACTGGTAGTGGGTGTCATGAAACTGCTAGGTATTTAATTTACCACAACTTGTGCTTTTAACTCCTAGGAAGACAGAGTTGTGGGATTTTCAACCTCTAGTGTCAAAATAATTTGAGTAGCCTTGACTAGGTTAGTGTGTGTGTAAAATTTGCACACCACCCTTCACCTGTCGATCTCAAGGCAGTTTACAACATAAAATTGCGATACACACAACACTTATTATTTATAACAAAATTATGATATAAAAATGCCCATGGTTCAGATGCATCTCCAACTCGCTTTGAAATGTCTTGAGGAGATACATCCTTAATGGAAAATGTTCTAAAGGGATGAGACACTGTATATGGATTTTCATGACACTGTATTATCAGTTGTTGGAAGCAATATGTGGCCTCCCAACAAGGAGCTGCTGGTCTCATGTTTTCAAACCAACTTACCCATCTGATCGAGCAGCAGCTCATAAAGGCAGCTGATAGTCAACCTGGCCTGGTTGCTCACATCTTTCATCGTATCTGTGATACAGATTCCAAACTGTGCCACGTGGTGTCCCAAGGCAGGAAGCTCACTGGACTTCTGCAGGGACAGAAGACAACAGAGATCTCCACCCATATTTTGTGGTCTGCTTCTCCCCTTGTTTCAACTGATCTCTACTCTTCACATCCTCAGTCCAGTATATCTGAAAGAGCGTCTCCACCCCCATCATTCTACCCGGACACTGAGGTCCAGCGCCGAGGGCCTTCTGGTGGTTCCCTTGCTGCGAGACGCCAAGTTACAGGGAACCAGGCAGAGGGCCTTCTCGGTAGTGGCACCCGCCCTGTGGAACGCCCTCCCGCCAGATGTCAAAGAGAACAATAACTACCAGACTTTTAGAAGACATCTGAAGGCAGCCCTGTTTAGGGAAGCTTTTAATGTTTGATGCATTGCCTTATTTTAATATTTTGTTGGAAGCCACCCAGAGTGGCTGGGGAAGCCCAGCCAGATGGTGGGGTATAAATATTATTATTATTATTATTATTATTATTATTATTATTATTATTATTACCCTAGCCTGTGAGGAAGACAGGTCCTTAGCAGGAATCCTTTCTGTGGACACATTCCCATGAACATGGAGAAGGGGAAACGACAGGTTGGACCCGCTTCGCCTAGTACTTATAATAAAATAATCGTTTTATTATTTGTACCCCGCCCATCTGACTGGGTTGCCCCAGCCACTCTGGATGGCTTCCAACAAATATAAAAGCATAATAAAACATCAAACTCGTATCGGGGCTGCCGTATTGAGCCAGGTTCTGGGGGTACTCACGTTGAAATCTGGCAGCAGAAGAGCATGTCGCAACACAGTGGTGCTGCAGAGGACAGACCTATATCTCTCTTGGGGATTGTTGGAATGAATCCAGAAGTTGATGTGCTGAGGAAGGAAGCAGCAGCTCAGAATGACTGCAACACCTGGCCTGAGACTTACACACCCCACATTGACAACTGTGGCCCCACAAACATCCCTTCTTCCTCTCGGCCCTGTCATTTGATCCTGAAAAATTCTAAATGGACTCTGCATTTGTCAAGCTAGTGCTGGTCTGTTGCATCCCTTAAGCCAGGCATGTCCAAAGTCCATTTCGGGGGCTAATCCAGCCTGCCGGTCAGCCCCTGTGGCAGTTCATTTCCTGGGGTAAAATCCTAAAAAACCCTTAAAAAAGCTCAACAACTTTGGTTGGCCCTTTGGTCGGCCCTCACGGCCCTTCATTTCATCAAATCTGGCCCTCTTTGAAAAAAGTTTGGACACCACTGTGACTTAAGCCACTGTTTCCCAACCACTGTTCCGCGGCACACTAGTGTGCCGCGAGATGTTGCCTGGTGTGCCGTGGGGAAAATTCGAAAGATTTTTTTTTTTTGTAAAAGTCAAATTAGGTCCTAATCTATCCCTCGAGTGCCTCTTGTCCGTTATTGTGACGCATGAAGCGTGTTCCCGCCCACTCCCCGCCCTCCCTTGCTTCTCTCTCTCTCTCTGTGGCGTTCTCCGCCGCTTCCTGCTGGGCATGCGCAGCTCGCCTCGCGCTTCCATTCCGGCCCCTCCTTCCCCCGACTACCCCGCCGCTCCGTTCCTTTCTCTTTCTCGCGTGTCAGAGAGCGGCGGCGCGAGCGCGGCGGTTCCCTCAGGGCTGACGGAGGGCTCGAGGAGGAGGAGGCAGGACGTGGAGGCAGAGAAAGCGGCGGCGGCCACCCCCCACCTCCGGCTTGAGGCCCGCGTAGAAAGCTGAGGGGGAGAGATAGATAGAGGTGGGCGGCGGCGGCGGCGGCGACCACGACCAACCGCCACAGTAGTTGTAGCGGTGGCGGCGGCGAGCAGGGACTCCCGCTCTCTCTCCGTCGTGTCTCTCTCTCTCTCTCTCCCGGGCCCGTCCGTTGAGTCTCCCGCGCGCCTCAGCTACAAGATGAGCATCGAGATCCCGCCGGGTCTGACTGAGCTGCTGCAGGGCTACACGGTGGAGGTGCTGCGGCACCGGCTGCCGGACCTGCTGGCCTTCGCCGCCGAGTACTTCGCCAAGCCGCGCTCTCCTTCCTGCCTCGCTTTGCTGCCTCCTCCCCCCACCCCCAAAGCTTGGAGGTTCCCCGGCGCCGACCCGCAGGTTTGACCCCCTTCTCACACCTGTTCGCGCTCCTTGCACGGAATGGGGCGGATGGGGAGGAACGGGGCTCGCCGCTGCCTCCGCTCGCCCTCCCCCCCTCCGCCGGCGGTCCCGCGATTCTTGGCTTTTTGGCGGTTGGCACAGAAGGAAGGCAAGGGGGAGGGGAAAAAATTGAATCTTACACTTTCGTGCGTCCCTCCCGGCGTGACGCTGCGCGCTGACGTCACAGGGCTGTAATGGTGGTGTGCCTCGAGATTTTTTTCATGAAACAAGTGTGCCTTTGCCCAAAAAAGGTTGGGAAACACTGACTTAAGCCATGTTTCTATACTGTTGCGTGGCGGGTGATGTTGCTGACTCAAAGAATGCCTACTACGATGAAAACTATATTCCCATGAGATGTATTTACATGAAACATTGTTTATTGTGTTCTCGTTCTCTCTCTCTCTCTCTCTCTCTCTGGGATTTATGTGAACAATGAACAGCTGGCTATAAATACATTAAGCAAATATTCATAAATGCTTTCCCTGCCAGACTCTCCATCGTATAAATGGCAATATAAAGTGCCATTTAACCCACTCACCTTCAAAATAAACATCAGGTGGCTTGTAGTTGGAACCTCAGACAGCAAGCCCTTCAGCATGATCTCCATTGTGTCTGCAGACGATTGGTAGAGAGCCTGAAGGGAAAGAGAGCCAAAGGCTAGTGCAGGGTTTCACAAACTTGGGTTTTCAGCTGTTTTCGGACTACAAAAACATCATCCCTAGCTAGCAGGACCAGTTGTCAGGGATGCTGGGAACTGTAATCCAAAAAACAGCTGGAGATCCCTGGGCTCATGTGCAGAGCAGGAGTGGGGAACCTGTGCCCCTCCAGATGTTGCTGAACTTCAACTCCCATCATTCCCAGCCTGCATGAACAATGGCGAGGAACGATGGGAGTTGTAGTCCAACAAGATGATCGGGAGGACCATAGGTTAGCCACTCCTGGTGCAGAGGCTGAATTCCTTTGCCCGCTAACAAATAAGATGACAATCAGACTGCCACTTCCTGAGGAGTACCCATGTTAAGTCTGTTGCAGGGGAAACAACAGAGTCCTGTGGCTTTTGTGGGCCAGAGTTCCTCTTCATCAGATACTTGAAAGGTTGTCCTCATTGGCAGGTAAGAACATAAGATGCGTTCTGATGGAGCAGACCAAAGGTCCACCTAGTCTGGCATCCTCTTCCCAACCAAATGCCTGTGGGAAGCCCACAAGAAGGACCTGAGTGTAGCATTGTTCCTCCCAGAAACTGGTACTCAGAGGCACACTGCCTTCAGCAGTGGAGGTATAACCCAGATCAGGGGTCAGCAAACTTTTTCAGCGGGGGGCTGGTCCACTGTCCCTCAGACCTTGTGGGGGGCCAGACTATATTTTTTTGGGGGGGGATGAACGAATTCCTGTGCCCCACAAATAACCCAGAGAGGCATTTTAAATAAAAGGGCACATTCTACTCATGTAAAAACACACTGATTCCCAGACCGTCCGTGGGCCAGATTTAGAAGGCAATTGGGCCAGATCCAGCCCCCAGGCCTTAGTTTGCCTACCCAGTGGGCTCAAATGTCATGAGACACAAAAAATAAGAAGTCTGTAGCAGTTCAAGTGGAAAAATATATGCAGATAGGCTACAGAAAACTGTGTAGCTCAGCCAGTCCAACGAAGACCTTTCTTTGGGAAGCAGATTCAGGATAACAAGATGGAATGTGTGATGTAGCCAAACAACTCCCCATCCTTATTTTTCTGATACTTACATCTGCCTGCTGTAGCCCTGAGGATGGATTGTCTCTCAGCAATATGAGCAAAACTAAAGGGACGGTGCACCAGAAAAAGAATACTTTTCTCTTTCCCCAGTATTTATAAGACATCCTGAATTTACCTGGCTGTGAGGATTTTCCAAATGTGTATCCATGTTAAAAATGCCATGGAGAGCCAGCCGCAAGATACCAGACAATTGCTCAGGATCAAATGGGGGCTTCATTTTGCTGTCAGGACCAAAGGGAAAGCAACTGGTTATTATGCTGGTTGAGAGGAGGGGCTGTGAAATAGAGAAAAACGCAAATTCTGTTCTCCCTTTAAAAGTGTGGGGGGGGGGGCGCACCTCTTTCCTCCATGGAGTCTTTTCCTCCATGTTCTCCTAAGTAAGCCAACAATGTCATGTAGATGCTGCACATGCCTGGAAATGGCAAGTTTCAGCCCTCTCACCAGAGATCATGATGCTCTGTCTGCAAATTCCACTGGGAATCAGAGAACTGTAGAGTTGGAAGGGACCCTGAGGATCATCTAGTCCAGGGGTAGTCAACCTTTTCATACCTACCACCCACTAATGCATTTTTCTGGATGGTAAAATTTCCTTCCCGCCCACCAGTGCTCGATGGATGGAGGATTCAGCTTGTGCCGTAGAACCCCCTACCGCTCACCTAGAATCCTGAAACACCCACTAGTGGGCAGTAGGGACCAGGTTGACAACCCTTGGTCTAGTCCTTGAATGCAGGAATATGCAGCTATCCCATACAGGGATCGAACCTGCAACCTTGGCATTATCAGCACAGCGCTCTAACCAACTGAGCTATGTCCAAGAAAAAGGTACATGGGGTTTTCTCCTTAATGAGAACTATATGCTGAGCATCACTTTTCTGGCTGAGGATCCTGTGGATTGGAAGTGCCTGAAGTTTTCTCTGCCTGTCTCCTGCCCTGAGATAAGTTGCTGTGGTGTCATGGGCTGGGGAAGGAGGAGGTTTGCAGAACCCGGATAAGCACAGTCCTGCCTTCAAGCATTCTAAATGAGGCAACCATGTTGCAGGCACCAAAAAAACGAATGCTCAGGACATCCCTAAGCAGCATTCTAAATCAACAGGATTTGTCTAGATTGGGAATATGAGCTATAGGGGAAAACTTTGGAATTGCAAAGAAGAATTTAGAGTAGCGCCCTCGGAAGAAAGAGGAGGAGCAGACAAAACAAAGGGCTTGGGTGTAAGAAAAAAATAATTTATTCTAGTGCACATTTATAGTTTAAAGATTATCATCCAAGAGGAGACTGGAGCATGACCATAAAAAAGCAAGAAAAGGCATGGGAAAATCTGAACTGAATATCGTCAGTATAACAGTGATGGTACAAACCAAAAGAAGTCACAAGGGACACTGACTGAAAGAGGAAGCAATGAAGAGAAGCACGTAGTCACATCAGTACCATATATTTAATGCACATTTAAAACACATGGGTTTCCCCAAACAGTAGTTTACCCCTCACAGAGCTCCAATTCCCAGCACCCTTAACAACCAGAAACCTGTTTGGTTTTTAAAACAAACAGGAGGGAATCATATAACTTTGTGTGAAATGTAGTTTGAGGGGGAGCCAAGGATTTCTGGGTTTATTCCAGCAATGTTATGGGAGATGAGAAATGCAACTGGAAAAATACCCCCCTTCCCCAATGATGCAGTTGAGAAATACCAGTGCTAGAGCCAGTCTGGATGTGATTTTCATAGGTTGACTTGGTACCTGAGGTTGTAGACCGTGAGCATTGAGCAGGATAGGAGGAACGATGGCACAGAGTGAACAGGCAGTGTCTCCATCACCATCTGGGAGTGTAGGACGAAAGGGGAGAGTCATTGCTGTGTAACACTTTCCTCCCATGTTCTCTTACTCAGCTGCAGTGGTGTAGCAGGGGTTGCCAGTGCCCGGGGCCATGAGGAGTAGGGTGGGAGGGAAACAAATGTGCATGTGCATTTAACTGCCTAACGGCATCTGCATCACCCAGGAGATCGCAGCCACAGAGATAAGAAAATAAGAGTTGTTCCATTGTCTGGAGAGGTCACTTCCTGGTTTGCATGGAGAAACCATTTTCAATGGAGACCAGTGATGGAAGTAAACAGCTGCATTGAAGCAGCACCGGGTATTGAAATTTTGCACCCCCTAACAATCTTGCGCCCGGGGCAACTGCTCCAGTGGTCTCCTCATGCTGCACCACTGCTCAGCTGTATTTGTCACTTTTCCCCATCTAGTCGTCTTCCCCAAACCTCCAAGCCAACATTACCACCTTCAGGATATCATTGTTACTATTGTTTTTTACAATAGATTTGGCCATCCTGTTCTAATATGGCTGCACACTTCTCTCCTTTCTGCCACAGCCACATCTCCTCCCTTCCCCTGGGTTCTTCTGTACTTCTCAACATTGAGTCCACCCCCCCCCCAATGTTTTAGCTGCCCATCTGCTCCACAGGATTCCTGGTGCCAGATATCTCACTTACCAGAAGTGCTTCCACCAATTCATTCTTCGTGTATGGGAGATCCAAGGTGTCCTTGCCACTTTTCTGCGCAGCCATGCAACTAGCAGAAATGGCATGGAGGAAGCTAATTTTCTCCTCATTGTTGTCCAGGATTCTCTGGAAAATATTATTCATTCAAGCTGCCCCTACTTCTATGTGGGAACGGCAACAAAACATTGCAGCGCAGAGCAACACTGTCCAGCATTCCCACCACCCCACTCCATTCCATTCCCCTTCTGCCATTTCCATTTCCTCCACCCACAAATCTCCGTCATCATTCCATGGCCACTGAGCATGCTGTGTCCTTATTGGGCTGTTTTTTGAGTAGGGGGAACCCCTTAGGGCAGGCTCCCTCAAACTCGGCCCTCCAGATGTTTTGAGACTACAATTCCCATCATCCCTGACCACTGGTCCTGCTAGCTAGGGATCATGGGAGTTGTAGGTCAAAAACATCTGGAGGGCCGAGTTTGAGGAAGCCTGCCTTAGGGTGTGTGTTTTTTTGTGTAAAACTTTTTTTTGTACTTTGGTGAATGTTGGGGCTAACTTCTGTGTGGATGCTGCTGTTTTGGCTATGTAAACTATGGCAAACACAGCCTGAACCAGGAGGTGCTGGCATGGTATGCAACAGCTGCCACCTGAACACCCAACAGCTGAGTTGCTGTTACTCAATTCTGACCAAACTAAGCTTCCTAGAGCAAAATATACACCAGGAGGCTTAGCTTGGTCAGAATCCAGTATAAATGAGGGACGAGGGTGGCGCTGTGGGTTAAACCACAGAGCCTAGGACTTGCCGATCAGAAGGTCGGCGGTTTGAATCCCCGTGATGGGGTGAGCTCCCATCGCTCGGTCCCTGCTCCTGCCAACCTAGCAGTTCAAAAGCACGTCAAAGTGCAAGTAGATAAATAGGGACCGCTCCAGTGGGAAGGTAAATGGCGTTTCCGTGCGCTGCTCTGGTTTGCCAGAAGCAGCTTCGTCATGCTGGCCACATGACCCAGAAGCTGTACGCCGGCTCCCTCGGCCAGTAAAGCGAGATGAGCGCCGCAACCCCACAGTTGGTAGAGCAGAGCTTTCCAAAATTTTCATGTTGGCGGCACACCTTTTAGACACGCATCACTTTATGACACAGTAATTCAGTTTCACTAGCAAACCGGAGCTTAAACTAACCCCTTTCCAGCCCCATGAGGAGTGTGGGGAGCGTTCACACAACACACCTGCCCACTGCAGCCGACAAACCAACATGTTGCGACACACAACTTGGAAAGCGCTACGCTAGAGGGCTGTGAAAATGTTTGCCATGGGCTTTTTAGACTTGTCTACCCATGTCCTACCTGAAACCAAAGGGGTGCTTTGGTTGCCAGATGCGATCCCCTAACACCCCCCCCCAAGTTCTCCTACCGCCTCACTATAAACCCTGTCCTTTGATACATTGCATTTCCACAATATATAATGAGAAGGGGAGCCTGCAATAAAATATTGCACTGTACTCTCACCTCCTAATGGGAGTGCTCTTCCCATGCCTTCTCCAGCAAGCTGTTCTGTCTCCACCTGGAGTTACTGCCCTCCCCACCTTGCCAAGCTCTCAGCATTCCTGGGTTACTGGGCATAACCTGAAATTCTCAGAGTCCCCCCTGAGAATGTGTAGACATCCCCTTTGTTTTTCAGTGGCTCCGTTTCAGCTGCAGTGTTGTTGGCACTGAGCTCCTGGAGTCACTATCAGAGAGAGTAGCAATATGTCTGGACAGTGTATCCTTGTTTCAATTTTTCGCTTAGCTACATTTTATGCAGCCCTGAAGACTCAACTTCAACTTCCACCAGTCCCAGCAAGCATAGTCAATGGCCAGGAAATATAGTTCAGCAACATTTGGGGGGACCAAAGCTTCCCAATATCTGTAGTGCTCAAACAGAGCTAACAGGGATTTGGGTTTTCCCCAGATTGCTATTTTTTCTGATATATCACTGAAGAGCGGGTTTTCCCTTGGAAAGGAGCAGGACAAGGAGAAAACTCCCTGGACCCATGATGAGAAAGTGTGGGTCAAGTGGGAAACTGCCAGGACTTGTGCTTTATAGGCACACCACATGCAGAAGTGTGGATGAACTCTGTATTTATATATATATATAACTGAGATCAATAATTGCAGTTACCTGTCTATGACAGTTGTGTACATTTTACAATTTTGTGTGTGTTCTGTAAGCTGCCCAGAGTGGGTGGGGAAAGCCAGCCAGGCGGGTGGGATATACATAATAAAATGATCATCATCATCATCATCATTCAGTGCATGGTGTGGGAGTGACCATGTGCTCAGGATCCTGCAAAAACAACTTTTGCTTCAAAAGCAGGAAGGAAGGAAGGAAGGAAGGAAGGAAGGAAGGAAGGAAGGAAGGAAGGAAGGAAGGAAGGAAGGGGAAGTTTGTACCTGTTCTTCACCATTAGGTGTTTCCATCATATTAACGATGATGTCAAGATCTGATAAGTTCCCCATCTCTGAATAGATCGAGGGCATCGACTGGATCGTAGATTCCAAGGTACTGAATGATGAAACTACAGCAAAAGATATTGTAGAAGCAGATTAGTGGGCCTTTTTAGTGGGTACTCCTGGAGTACCAGAACCTCTCTCTTTTTTTGCTGCCCAGGGCAGTCATTTTAGGTTGGCACCCACAGCACTCAGGTCAAAACAGCACTGGAAAACCAGTATTCCCATACTTCATCAAAAAGGGGTGCAGCCAGGGCCGGATTTAGGTTTTATGAGGCCCTTTATATATCCAGCTGTTCTTTGTCAACAACAAATTGTTGCTATTTTTTATTTTCATTCATGTTTTTCTTTTTATTTTCTTTTTACCACTTTTTAAATAAATGAAATTCTTGTAATAAATGAAGAAGAAGAAGAAGAAGAAGAAGAGGAAGAAGAAGAAGAAGAAGAAGAAGAAGAAGAAGAAGAAGAAGAAGAAGAAGAAGAAGAAGAAGTATAGATATTTAATTTCTCCCTGCCCATTGGGAACAGAGCCATTTGGTGCCATCATTGCAATGGAAAAACCCCTTGCAACCAGGCCCCACCCCTCTGCCTCAGTCTTTGTGACTGACCCAATTCACCAGATTCTTGGCTTTTGTCTGAACAACCCACTTTATCCCCCCCCCCAGGCACCTCCTTACCTATAGTACCCCCAATTGTACTTGTGCTCTCTGGGGTGGTGCTCGTAAGTACTAGCGAGTTGTGGTTTGTCAGGGCACGGACATCAAGCCGATCAACACTGGGTTGCTTCTTCTCCATTACTGGGTCTTGCTTCTCCTGTAGTGGTTTAAAGCTTTGGGGGCTGGTCTTGCAGTTCCCACAGCAGTCCCAGAGCAGCCTTCTGTTTCCCCCTTCCCCTACCGAAACATCCCTGTGTGCTCTGCAATGGCAAAACCTCCAGGATTTGGAAGGCCCTTTCTTCTGATCCTTGGATTCAGGGCCCACAGCTTGCATCCTGCGGTAGGCCGTGCATGGCCTGCCCTTGGGAAGGGTCTCCAAGGAAACATCAGGTTCTCTCTCGGGAGCACTTACACTTTCCTCTTCCGCTGGAGCAGCATTGGTGTTCCTCCTTGAAAGGAGGGCCCGCAGTCTTCCCAACCTTGAACAGAGTGGGGGAAAGCTGAGGAACGGGGCTTGTGGCGCCACCTTATTTTACTGAGCTTAGTCTACCTTAGCCCTCTAGGATGGGGAACCGGTGGCCCTTCATAAGATGTTGGACCGCCAGCTCAGTGGCATAGCGTGGGTTGTCAGCACCCGGGGCAAGGCAAGTAATTTGCGCCCCCTAACCCGTGGATTTGCGCCCCCTAACCCGTGGATTTGCGCCCCCTAACCTGTGGATTTGCCCTAACCCCAGATGTTGCGCCCGGTGCGGCTGGCCCCCCCTGCACCCCCCACGCTACGCCACTGCGCCAGCTCCATCCAGTACACAGACTGAGACCATTCCTGCCTGCAGACTGTCTCGCCAGAGTGGACTACTGCAACACGCTCTACGTGGGGCTACCTTTGAAGTTGACTCGGAAACTACAATTAATCCAGAATGCGGCAGCTAGACTGGTGACTGGGAGTGACACCATATAACACCGGTCCTGAGAGACCTGCATTGGCTCCCAGTACAGTGGTACCTCGGGTTAAGTACTTAATTCATTCCGGAGGTCCATTCTTAAGCTGAAACCATTCTTAACCTGAAGCACCACTTTAGCCTATGGGGCCTCCTGCTGCTGCTGTGCCACTGGAGCACAATTTCTGTTCTCATCCTGAAGCAAAGAGGTACCACTAGTGGTACCTCTGGTTACAAATTTAATTCGTTCTGGAGGTCCATTCTTAACATGAAACTGTTCTTAACCTGAGGCATGTTTTCGCTAATGGGACCTCCCGCTGCTGCCACGCCGCTGCTGCACAACTTCCGCTTGCATTCCGGGGCAAAGTTTGTTTCCAGGTGCGCCTACTTCTGGGTTAGCGGAGCTTGTTACCCGAAGCATTCACAAGGAGGATGGTACGTAACCAGAGGTATTACTGTACAGTGGTGCCTCTGGTTGTGAAAGGGATCTGTTCCAGAGCCCTGTTCACAACCTGAGCAGAATGCAACCCGCGTCTGCGCATGTGCGGGTCGCCATTTGCCACTTCTGCGCATGCGTGTGACATCTTTTTGAGCATCTGTGCATGCGCAAGCAGTGAAACCCGGAACTAACCCTTTCCGGAACTTCCGGGTCGCCGCGGGACGCAACCTCAGAACGCTCAACCTGAAGCAAACGCAACATGAGGTAAGACTGTACTTGAACCGTTCAAGATAGGTCTATCTGTTGAAAATAAACCCTGCCATGGCTGGGGAGGAAGGAATTCCCTAGAACTGCTCTGAACTATAGCAGGCCTGGCTCATGTTATTTGGTTGTCTGAGGGAGTTTGGCAAAAGCCAGTTGGACTAGCTGCTGAATCTGAGGACAGCAGAGTAGTGTAGGGGATGCATAATATGTACGCCTCTCACGCAGCAACTGGGGAATGGCAGGGAGGCTGCCGTGGCAGCTCCCCGGCACCTGCCGCCTAAGGCAATTTCCGCACTCTGCCCTATGGTAGGACCGTTCCAAATGTATAGTGTTAGAACCAGAGTACAGAGCTGCTAAGAAATCCTACTTACATCTCTGAATATCGAATTCCCCCCTGTCACATTCACTCTCTTCAGGAAGTGTTGTCCAGAGGCTTCTTAATCACCTGGTCAAGGTCTAGAAAACAAAAGTATTTTCAGACTGAACAAATCGCTGCCACCAGCCAAATCAGGAACAAATGCAACCCCCATGTTCCCCCTATAGGTGATCCGACATGAACACACAATCCCCATGTACATCATTTCAAACTGATTTTTTAGCGTGGCACCAACTACACTTTACAACTCTCTGTCTATTGATATCTGGCAGGTGTCTCTTATTCCTCTTTCTCTCTCTCTTAACCTGTTTTCTATTCTTTTTTCTTTTTCTTTATCTCCTCCCCTTTTTGTGGTTTTTATTGTAATCTAGATAGACGTCTTAGTTTAGTTAAAAAAGGGGAAATATATTAAGCTTTGTATTTTTCTCTATAAGCAATAATTTATTTATTTAAGATACCTGGCAGGTGTCTTCACTATACTCTTTCCGGGGCTTACTTAACATTTTTTTTATTTAGGCAAACCGATCCAGACATTTAGTAGTTTCATGTGTTCTAATTTGTTTTTAGCTCATTGTTGATTTTAATGAGTTGTTGAATGTTTTTTCTTATAAGGCTATTTTTAGCTGCTTTTAATCGACAAATTTACTTTTCCGTAAACTGCTTTGAGGTTATATTATGATCAAGGAGTATGTAATCATTTTTCCCAAATAAACAATTTCCTACTGATGTGACAAGTCAGTCCCAGGCACACACATGTTCTGTGCGTTAGGATCATTGGATATTGTCTCAATTATCCCCTTTGCTCTTCACCCCAATCTGTTCCTCAGTCTAGGCCACAGGCATGGCCAAACTTGGGACTACAACTCCCATCACCCCTAGCTAACAGGACCAGTGGTCAGGGATGATGGGAATTGTAGTCCCAAAACATCTGGAGGGCCAAGTTTGGCCATGTCTGCTCTACTGGCTCCTCAATAGGAGCTCAGCTTTGGGGAGAGTTCAGTATCAGCAGGTGATAAGAACTTCTTTACAGTTTGCGGAGTTTTCTAGATATGCACCACCTCAGTCTCCTGTCCTATTAGTACACCATAGTGCGAGACTCAAAATATAGCAGTTATGGGGGGGGGGAGAGAAATGCCAACAAAATGGGAGAAAAAAATCATCAAGCACTTACTCTCATAAAAGACCTCTGGTTATCTGACAGGTGAGCCAGCAGGGGGGAAATGTCACAATGGAGGACATGTGACAGTTACCTTAGCAACCTGGGCATTGTTTTTCTTAATACTACCCTGGCCTTCTTTTTATTCATTAAGCCTGCTATGTATTGCGTCTGTGTTTTCTTTCTGTTTGGCCTTGATTTGCACCTGCACCTGCTATGCCTAGGCACCTGGGATTCTCACCCCCTCCCATTCATACCTGGGGTCCCATTACGTGCTCCTTCTGGCAATGTGCATAAAGGATTTAAACCAGCTCAAAGGCAGCTGCTACACTGCTCATCCATGCTACGGTTTCATTATGTGTGTTACTGGAGTAGATGGGGAATGTGCCTTTAGGCACGGGGAGCTGTAGGAAAAACAAACAGATCTACGTGTCGTGGGTGCACGTATCAATTAATGCAGTGGCGTAGCGTGGGTTGTCAGCACCCGGGGCAAGGCAAGTAATTTGCACCCCCTAACCCGTGGATTTTGTGCCCCCTAACCCGTGGAGCACGCCCCCCCCCAGATGTTGTGCCCGGTGCGGCCGGCCCCCCTGCACCCCCCACGCTACGCCACTGAATTAATGCAATTGCTGTTGCTGTTTGTGCTTTCAATCGTGGCCTCCTTAGCAAAGGAAATATTGTATTATGAACATATTTAATGCTCAATTTTTTATTTTCTGATGGCTAAGGAAAGGCATCATTGCAAGTAGACACGTATTGTAACAAAAATCCTGGGTGTCCACTTCTGTGTCAGCAAAATGCTTTTTTTGGGGGGGGGGTTGCTGATTTTTCAGCAGATACATTTGGGGTGTTTGTTTGTGAAGAAACTGTGTTTTCCACTGTGTGACTTCCTCGGTGACTTCCCCTGAATTTCTCTTTCAAAGGGTTAAGCCTCCTCTGCCATCAGTTCTCTGTTCTAATTTCCCATTTCTTGAAGCAGCTTTTCTATGAGAAAAGCACTTTGGGGGTTTGCTTTGACTTTTTAACCACTCATTTTGCTTGCTCGCTTCCTACATCATATGTGCTTCATTTCATGCCTGCACAGTTTGTGGCTGGACTGGCCAAATGGTTGACTATAGACCACACAAATATTGTGTCCTGCTAGGTCAGGGATGGGGAATTTATGGGTCTCCAGATGTTGTTGGACTACAATTCCCATCATTCCTGCCCCATTGGCTTTGCTGATTGAGAGTGGAAACAGGGAGTCCAACAACGTCAGGCTCCCCATCCTTGTGCAAGGTGTTTGAGAATCCTCCTTTTTTCCACAGTCAAGGAAATCAGCAAAGTAGGATGTTCGTGAAGCTTCTGCACAACTGCTATGTATGTGTTGGTGTTTCAGGATCAAACGTTGTGCCTGCTTGCTTTAATCTTTTCTGTTTGGCCGAGGGGAAGTGGAATAAAGAGCACAGGCATGCAAAAAACGTCATGTTTCTCCAGAAACCTATCTCCTATGCTTGTGCAAGAAAGCTGAGACTCAAAAGTTCACCTCCTGCTCCCACCAGAAAGAAAATGGGATTTGAACATTCAGATGTGAACATTCATATATCAGACCCTTCAAGTATCCCTATTTTCCAGATACAGTCCCAAAGTTACAGAAGCTGTCCCAGTTTCTGATTTGATCATGGAATGTCCCGCTTTTCTTTAGGAAGTCCCCATTTTCATTGGAGAAATGTTGGAGGGTATGGAGTTATGCAACCCCTGAGCCAAGGAGATAAATAACTATACAACCTTTGGAAGACATCTGAAGGCAGCCCTGGATAGGGAAGTTTTAAAAAAATGTTTCATGTTACAGTACTATGTTGGAAGTTGCCCAGAGTGGCTGGGGCACACTGGTGGAGGGAAGTACTGGGCTGTGGGGGAGGGAGGTGAAGGGATTAATTGAAACTGTTAAAGATTGGTATAGGATTTAAGAGATTTAAATTTTCAT